GGGGGGGGGAAGAGGCTCCAGACCCCGTCTCAGCCCTCTCCTCTGCCCCTGCCCAAGGAAAATGTTTTTGAAAATTAAGCTTCTTTTGCCAAAAGTGGTAGTGAGTTCTGGCACGTGAGATGGGCAAAAGCTTTCAGCTCTCTACGAGAGTCCTAAACTGAATACGCAGAGCGACGTCCTGTACCAGGCACCCTCCGGAACCCAGCGAGACGTGTCCCTGTCCCAATGGTGTCCCTGCAGCCACCACGCTCCCCCCCACCGGGAAGGACAGGCAGGAGTCAAGCAAGTGTAAACAGCTGGGTAATGCTTCCTCTTGGACAGCCGCTCCCAGTCCTGCCGGCAATATTTAGCAAACACCGGCGTCTTCGTTCCCCACCCTCCTGACAGCACCGGCGCTACCTGCCCTTTTCCCCTTGCTGCTGTGGTGACATGAAGGTGAGTAAGGGGTGCAGTAACACCAGGAAGGGAGTCACAGGGGCATGAAGCCCCCACGTAGAGCCATTTCTTGCACCACCCTGGATTGTACCAGCAAAGCATTCCCCGGGTGGCAGGGGAGCGCCGGGAGCATCATTTCCAGGGTTCCCATGCTTCATCCCCCTCGGGTGCCAGAGGACAGCTTTCCCCCCACTTTTGGGCATGTCAACCCACATAAATTTGCTGAAGAGCTGCTCTGCCAGCAGATACGTGCTCCCAAGCCTCCTGGGGCCATGCTGGGCACATGCAGCATCCAGCCTACCTTTCCCAAAACAGGGTGAGGGACTCTCAGCATCCCCATACTGTTGGATCCACTGATGCTTTGATCCAAACCCAGCTGCCCCGGGGAGGCTCAGCCACGCAGATCCCCGTGGCCCCCAGCAGCCAAAGGGCAGGCGGAGGTTGCAGCTCCTGCTGGCTCTGCCCTCTCTGCGTGTTGCAAACAGGCTGCAGAAAGCCACTGTGTTGACCCTGTCATGGAGACAAACCAGGCTTACCTCCATCAACGTGACTTTAAATGAACGCTTATTATTCAGAGGGAGTTTGGGGATGGCGGGCGCCGGCATACAAAGCCACCCACAGCGCTGTGGCTGTTGACACTGACGCAGTGGAGAGAGAAAATATTGCCCAAAGCCACCGCTTCGAGCGGCCCTCGGGAAGCCACAGCCGTCACCAGGATTTCGTCTCAGCCGAGTCCTCCGCCCTCTGCTCCCACTGGTGCTGGAAGCTGGTCATTGTGCAGGAGATGGGGGACAGCACGGTCAGTCCCCCCCATCACTCCTCTCCCAGCCTGGAGTCATGAAGGCTGCCTGCTGCTGGAGTTTCAGGATCTAATTTTAATTCCAGGGCAACTTTGATAAGTGAGAAAAAGGCTTTGTGGACATCTCTGCCTCGTAAAGCCTACCTGGGGTGAATACATCTTTACCTACCTAAACGCTGATCCTGTTTCAAGCGGCAAAGCCAATGTTTTCACTTCCTAAGGACATTATTTAGCTGGGGGATCCTGCCCAGCCCAGCATTCGCGCTTATCTGTGCCCACCCAAAGGCCTCTGGCGAGGGGGGCCTTGCTGCTATCTGTCCCCTCTGCTGCAGAAATTTGGGGGTCAGGAGATGGTGATGCTCCCCTCGGGTTTTGCAGGACGGCAGCCTCCTGTGCAGCTGGGTGGGTGCGAGGTGCGCAGCATGGCACGGGGGACAGCAGGATCCTGGGGGCTCCTCCACACTGCAGGCACTGCGCTTTCAGGGGGCAGCCCAAGCCCCTCTCTTCCAAGCGGTGATGTCTGCGTCCCCTCCATGAGATGGGTCCATGCCAAGTGGCCATTCTCTCTGGGAAATCAGTTTTCCACCTCAAAAAGGCAGTCGTTATCCTCGAGCAGAGCATCTGGCCCCTCTTGGAGCCCATAATAGAGGTCATCCTCCTCCCCGGCGCCTTTGCGGGGAGAACCAGGGTGCTTTCCCCCCACCGGGGAGCTGGTCGGGGTGCAGCTGGAGCGGGCAACAGATGGTGGGGGTCGGCCCTGTGGCACGGGGCTGCTGGGCACGGAACCCTCCAGCGACGGCGTGTCCATGTCCTCCAGGAGGCATGCCAGCGGTGCGTCCCCTGGGGCCAGCCGGGGGGGGCTGCAGGAACAGAGAGGGCTGAGGGGCGGTGGTCAGGGTGGGGGTTACACTAAACACAGCTGGGCTATAGCTGGGGTTTTCCCCGGAGCTGGCAGCTGCTGGGTTCAGCGTTGCTCAGCCAGTGTCCCAGCATCACCAGTCCCCTTGCTGGGTGGCTGGACCACCCCAGGAGGGCCCCCAGTGCCTGCCTTTACGGGGACAACCCCCTGCCAGGTTCCCTCTCCAGCCCATGGGACAAAGTAGTGGCTGCCCTCACATGCTGTGCCCACATCCTGAGGAGAAAGCAGAGCACCCCCTCCCAGCTGTAGATGCATTTTGGCAGAGGGGGTGCCTGAGTCCTACGCCCCGAGGCTGCACAGTGACCCCCATCACCTGCAAAGCACTTTTGGGATCTCCTGGACCAATGCATGGGCATCATACGTGGCATCTGGTTTGAGGGACACATACTGAGCGTCTCATTTCTATCAAAGTCTGACCAGGAACTTGGGATTTATGCTGGTGAGGGACATTGTTTATATTTATAAAATGAAATAAAAACAAAATGCAAATCACAACCAAAGGCAGTCCAGATTTCCTCCTGATTTCACCCTGGTAAATAATTTGGTACTGAGAGACCCCATGGGCTGAGTCACT